CTTAGATTGAGAGGTGGTCATTAGATACGTGTGCAGTTATATGTAAGCCAATCAGCTTAGATACATGGTTATCATCTCAAGGAACATATTTTTTTTAGAAGATCGTTATAAAAACAATGGTCATTCTAAGTGATTTTGTAGGACCTTTGTAATCTCAACTAGAACAATAGAGTTAGCTTCTCTTCCTTTAAAAGTCTGAAGTGACTTAACCACTGTATGAGCCAGGTTCTCATCGCCAATCTCAACCAGTTCACCAGCTGTACGGACAGTTTGAACTTTGACATTCTCAACAGTTTCTGTTTTAGTATTGTGATGATAAATCAAGTTCCAGCTCTCTATTAAATGATTGCGAACATCATCGCTCAATGAGTGACCCTTAAGCACAATGGATATTTTAGAAATGCCTTCCACAACAGCAAGTTGGGATCTCCAAGTAGGAATATACACTTTAGGATCAAAAGTTGCAGTTAAAGAGTTCAAAGCGAAGATCAAATATTCATCGTTATAGCTACCGTCTGGATATAACTGGAAAATCTTAACCATTGATGTGAGTGCTCTCATACGATCTGCTTCACGTGTCAAGTTCTTCCGACTGGAGATCTCGCTCGTCGCAATAACTTTTTCGTTTGTTGTACCATCCTCGTCTTCGTCCTCAGAATCGTAGTAATCTTCAGAGAATATGCCTTCAAAGATGTTAAGTGCATTCTCAAATAAAATCACAGATGGGAATTCTTGTGCAAAATCTGCAAATGAAACAAGTGCATGCTTTTGATAAGCCTTATTACGACGTTTCGATTCAACAATCACGGTCTTTTGTACGTCTTGGAAAACATCTGGATGTTCGCTAATATAGAATTTAGACTTCAAAGTCAGAGAAACCAATGCTGAGAGAACGTCCTCTTTTCCTGCCCACGAACGTCCTTGACATGATTTGAGAAGAATCGTGAATAATTCATCAACATGAACAGATGCCACAGCAGTGCTATCAAGAGAGTCACACGCAATAGCTATGCTTTTAGCAGACACTTGTCTCATTGCAAATTGCTGGCCATTGATGTGTTCCTTCACCAAGTCACAAATTTCACTAAAGTATAGCCTAATAGCGCCTTTACCCGAAGTATTCTCTGTCCATACACGTTCAAACAACTTGGAAATGTCTTTCGAAGAGTATTGTTTTCCAAAGAATGCCAGTGGTAGGAAGGCCGATGCAACAGATACAAACATATCACCAGAATACTTCGAAACAGCCTCCGTAGCGATTCCTGCAACGATTTTAGGCTTCTCTTCTTCGGATTCAAAAAACATGCTCTGAATCTTCTTAGAGTATTTGACAACGACATCAACCGAGCATACCCTACAACAATACCCGGCTGCTGTTGCGTATGAAGAAGAAACAGTGGTGTTTCTATCTTTCAACTGTGAACCACAAGTATTGAGTAAGGTTTCACCATATGGCTTGATCAAGTATAATTGTCTCATGATAAGCATGACAATGACTCTCGATGCTGCTGCCTTAGATGGGAGTCCAACTGATTTCTTCACACTTTCTTGAACCTTTGAAACGACTATATCAATATTATTCTCATCCACTTGGTCCACAAGACGTTCAATAGCATTCATGATAGGAGAAGATCCCAGACCTTGTAGACGTTTGGCATCAATTTCATCACTTTTCAGATTGTATTTATCAGCATTAAGTGTCAAGTAGTTGATAATCTG